GAAATTTTTTATCTTGGATTAATGTAAGTAAATCGTTATTGATTTTTTGGTGAAAATTTACTATTTTCCTTTCTTTTTCTTATTTTTTTTTAGGTATTTCTCATCTTGGAATTAAGGTAAGCAAATTGTTGGTGACTTTTTGGATGATAATTTACCATTTTCTTTTACTTTTTTCTCATTTTTTTTAGGAAATTTCATATCTTGAAATTAAGGTAAACAAATGTTAGTATGAAAATTTTATTTTCCTTTTCTTTTTTCTCATATTTTTTAAAAAATTTCTCATCTTGAAATTAAGGTAAGCTGAAAATTTACTATTTTCTTTTTCTTTTTTCTCATATTTTTTAGAAAATTTCTCATCTTGAAATTAAGGTAAGCAAATCGTTAGTGATTTTTGGGGTGAAAATTTACCATTTTCCTTTCTTTTTCTTATTTTTTTTTAGGAAATTTCACATTTTAAAATTAAGGTAAGCAATTCATTAATGATTTTTTGGGAAATTTCACATCTTGTAAGTAAATTAAAGATGACTTTTGTTTGGATTTTTTAATATTTTTCTTTATTTTTCTTTATATTCTTTAGGAATATACTATAATAAGTCAATCGAAAGTAGTTTTAAGAAGGAATTTTTAACTTATTCCTTTATTTTATTTTATTTTTTTATAAATAAATATTATATAGGTCAATTGAAATAGACTTTTGAAATGGATTTTTAATTATTCTTTATTTTTCTTAAAAAATCACAATAATTATGTAAAAATAATAAAATTATAAAATTATAAAATTAATAAAATTTAAATAAATATAAATTAGTTATTTTTAATTCTGATTTGCTTGGCTGATTTTAGACTGATTTAGGTTTATTGATGATTAAATTTAGATAGTTTTTAGGCTAATTTTAGATAGCCGATTCATAACTGATTGATATTTCTGATTGACTCATATTATATCAATCAGAATTAATGCAAATCAATCTTAAATCAACCATCAATCATCTATCAATTGTCTGTCTAATTTTTAGCCAATTTGTACATATTTCGACCAGTAATATAAAGATGGTGATTTCACAAAATTTCAATTAGTAAATTATTAAATAATAACCTCTGAGACTTATAAATATATTTGCTGATTATATTAATAGTAAAATAATAAAATAATATTAAAGGTTTTATTTGATTTGAGTTGAGTTGAGTCAAATTTAATATGAGTCAAGTTGAATTAGAGTTTTAAAATTTTTGAATTGACTCAACTTGATTCAAATATTTTGAATTGAGTTTAAAACTCGATTTGATTTGACTCATTAGAAGCTTTAAAAATTTCTTATCTTAAAATTAAGGTATGCAAATCATTGATAAAATTTTAGGTGAAACTTTACCATTTTTCTTTTTTTTTTTTATTATTTTAGAAAATTACTCATTTTGGAATTAAGATAAGAAAATTATTGGTGATATTATAAGTGAAAATTTACTATTTTCTTTTTTTTTTTATTTTTTTTAGAAACTTTCTCATTTGAATTAAAGTAAATAAGTTAGTGATGACTTTATAGGTGAAATTTTACCATTTTTCTTTCATTTTCTTATTTTTTTTTTGTTATTTTAAAATCAAAGTAAGCAAATCATTAGTAATTTTTTTTTAGAAAATTTCTCATTTTAGAATTATGGTATGCAAATCAGAAATGACTTTTTGGATTACAATTTATCATTTTTTTTTATTTTTTTTTATTTTTTAAGGAATCCATTATGTTAAGCCAAATTAAGGTGGAATTTTTGACTCATTTCTTTATTTTACTTCATTTTCTATATATTTTACAAAGTGATTCTTTTTAAGAAACTTAATTTACAATTATATAAAAATAATAAAAATATAAATTTAATAAATTTAAATTTGTTATATTAGTTATGATTTTTGATTTATGATTGATTTTAGTTGGCTAAATTATTTGATTTTGGCCAAATTATATTCAAATTATGGCAGAAATTGCGTTAATTTTAGGCTTGATTCTTAGGTAAATTGTATCTGAATTGTGTCTGAATTATTATATTTGAATTGTTCTTATTGCACTAAATTATGGCAATTGTATTTAAACAAATTTATTATAATTCTGCCATAATTCAGACACAATTCATCCTAAATTCAAATATAATTTAAATATCTGAATGTTTGCTTAATTGGATATTTTGATCAGTATATATAGCAATTGATTGAATTATAATGAAAATTTATATGCACCTTTCCTTTTTTGAACCTGCTAAATAACTTTATTTAGGATTTTAAAGTTGACCAAAAGTTCTCAAATTTACCATTAAAATAATTGAATGGATATAAAATAATACAATTACAAAAAATGTTTATGCCTCTTCAACTATTAATCCAATTATAATTAAAATTTTTATTCACCTATTTTTGAACCTGCTGAATAACTTACCTAGGTTTTCAAAGTTAATTTCCTTTGACCAATTTGCTTAAATTACTCTTTGAATTGACTGAATAGTTAATAAAGTTACAAAAAATGGTTTAAGTTTAAAATTTACACTGTTTTAAAAAATCGGTGTTAAATTTTAAGAGAATTTGTCAACAATTAACTGTGTTGTTAAAAACAATTTGGGGGTCAAAATTGATTTTATATGTTATCTGAAGTTGGAATTCAGATAGCAAAAAAAGTATCTGAAACTGATTGTGATCTCAATTTCAGACATCCGAAAGTATCTGAACTCCAACTTCAAAATCAATTATTGTCACAACAATTAATACAAATTTTAAATATTATTTAATAAAGTTTTAAAATTCTTGGTTTTTTTTTTTAAATATTTGCGTAAGGATAAAATGATATATACGATTATTAAATTAAATACACACAAATTTAAAGTCTTAAAAAAAAATGAAAATTTATCAAAACAACAAAGAAAATTGAATTGCATTTTTTATGAGTTATCAATTTTTTTTTACGCCTAAATATTACAATTGATGAATGACGAGCATTGTAAGTATATTAAGTAAATTCAAGTTACTGTACCACCAAAAATTAGTCTCCAAATATATATGGTCTTTTATGTCGATCATCCAAATTAAACAAAATCTGACCAGTTTATTAGGTAAAGTATTTGTTGCATATTTTACACTGAATCATGTTTGCATCTCCTCTCACGGGACAATACAACATATCACTTTTATCTTCAAAATAGCGTATTTTTTTTGAGAATTGTCTTTAATGAGCAAATAAATTATTTCGGACAATAGGATTGTATCTTAATGAGAAAACAAAATTCTATGTCTATTCGTATAAATAGAAGTAAGAAAGTAACATAAGCTTTTATAAATATGGTTTACATAATCGAAACACATTTAACTTTAGATACTATTTTTTAATTCGGTCGAAGCTAGTAAATACAAATTATACAGACTTTGGTGAGACGATCAATTTCAAAATTGTTCACACATGGCATGTCTGGTCACATCACGATCAGATTTTAAATCTCATGTGTGCGTGTGAAAATTTGCAGAACGAAACTTTGTCGAGTTACCAAGAAAAAATTTTCCATTTCCTTTTTTTTTTTTCACTGAAATTATATTTTAGGATTCAATATTGGTAACAAGCATTTCTCCTAATTTAAGTTCATACTAGTTTTAGTCTTGGGTTTTGACTGCGCCAAAATTGATCACCACAAATTCTGGAAAATTAGCTTTCGGATCTTTAGGACTATTCGGACTGCTTGGAAGATGGAAGAAATATGTCTAAATGACCACTTTTGACATCAGGGATCAATTAATAAGAATTTCCTTCATCTAAGCCGCAAGCCTCCTGATATTTTCAAAGAATGCCGTAACAAAGCCCTAGGAAGGAATTTTAATATAAAATGCTTCGTTTCGCACTTTGTTTACGATAGGATTTGATCATTTTCGAAATAGGATAGATCTATTCTCTTAGGTTGTTGTTTTATTTGTATTTATTTATCATTTTATTAAATAAACTTATTTCTTTATTTCAATTCCAATAAAACTTTATTATTTTATTATAATTAATTTAATTAATTTACATGCTATTTTCTTTATATCGCAATTACATATAATAAACTTATAAAATACATTAATTATCTTCCTTACGAAAATAGGAAGAAATAGTATCATATCAAAAATAATATCAAAAATCCCACAAAATCAACTTTAGATTTTGTGTGATATAAATTCATAGTTACATATGAAATGCATGTAATTTATGAATTCAGGGTAAAAAATAATTTAATTTTAGGGAGTTATAAGATTTGCTATATATTATTGTTTCATTTTTTTTACGTGACAAAGTTTTCAATGTTACACGAAGTAAACACTGATGAGATTAAGACTATTGTTTCATAACAAGGAAAATTTTGTAAATGGATAGAAGTAACAAATTAAATTAGGTTGCGTAAACTTCATGACATGATAATCTTAAGTATTTACATATAATACATAAACTTGGGTTTCAAATACAATGTTAAGATAGGGTTTCAGTGTGCAGATCAATTACTATTAATAACCCATGACGCAAATGAAAAATCTAATTTAGAAAGAGCTATATTGGAATGAATTTTATTAAAAAAAACTTTACAATATTTCCTTATGAATCTACTTACGTCCGTTAATAGGAATTTTTTCTCTTTTAGGTAAATAATTATATTTTTATATTTATATTTTTATTTTTATTGTTTTTTTTTAGAATTTAAAAATCTGAGATCTAAAAAAAAAAAATAAGGAGCTTGGAATAAAACCTTAGATTCATAAATAAATATATTTATTCAAATCTCTCTTATCTCGCCTATAAGTTAATATTGTTAAAAGAATTGTTTTTTTCGATTGTATTAATTATAAAATGCATATTTATTATATTTAATACGATATTTTTCAATTATATCCCGTGACCAAACTAAACTATTAATGATATAAATAAAATACGTTATAATCTGATAAGTTAAGTTTTTTACATTTTTTTTAAAAACAAAAAAAGGATACGAATAAACAAATTTAACAAATGTCTTTAAAACAAACCAGACCAATTGCTAGAACAGTCGGAATACGACCTGTAAGAAATGGTCAGAGAACAAGGCAGAATCAAGTTAGAAGGCAACGAAATCAACGAAATATTAATGAATTATCTCATTGTCGCGTCCATCACAATGTACCCACTAATAATCAAGACACGTTAAATGATATTGCCAATCTTCTTCCACAAGTGATAAATGATCCTTTGTTGAATCAATTTTTCAATGGAGGTTATTTCCATTAAAGCCTTAAAATCCAATATCGCATATATATACCGGTAATAAATTTATTGATTATTCGAAAGTTTATTCAAATTCTATATATATAATTTAACTCAAACGTCAATTTCCGGTACTATTTATTTAGCTTTTCTAGTAAGAATAATTTTTTGGTACAAATTTCTCTCGTTTTCTTAGGTATTGGTGTGTAATATACAATATAATATACCTCATGAAATTAAATATTTTATAAATTACAATAAACAAAATAAATTATTATAATTATTTTATTATATAAAGGAATTAGTTTGTATTCTTTATGTAATCCTAACATTAATTTTTACTAGAGAAAATTAGGTCTTTTTTAAATGTTTACGTGTTTTCATTACGTCCTATATATATATGTTATAAGGCATCGAGAAATAAAACTTACAAATGGCTTTGTAATATCTGGAAAACGTTCAATGTTTCATGACCCAAGCTTGTTTTTGTATATGGTGGGCAATTAATTAGTTACAATTTCTAGGTGAGTATATTATAAATGTTCAATCAAAGACCGAGCAAATAAATTAAAAATGTTTGTAATTTAATGGTCGTTCGGTAGGATTGATAGTCTAATAAACGATCAATTTATAAAATTGCAGGAAGATTGTACAATTAAGAGTGTAAGATTTATTTTGTTAATGAGACATTAAAAGATTTAATGATAATTAATTAATGCTAATAAAAATAAATACACGAACTAGTAATTTTTTTAATTCTCAGAAAATTGCGTTAATTATATAATTGATAGATAATTTTAAATTTTTATATACTTTTAATTTTTTTTTTATAAAAAATTTGTTACTCTTTTAAAATTTAGTCAAATTACTTATATTTATTATTTAATTGGTAGGTTCATTACTTTATGCTGCTAAGTTAATTAAATAAAAATAATAAAAATAATATTTTTCTTGCTTTTTAATTTTATTAATTAATCTTTTTTTTTTTATTTTAAATTCAATCCTAAATTTTTTAAAGTTATTTTTTGTATTTTATCAATTAAAATAAAACGTATTTAAAATATTATAATAAAAATAATAGTCATTAAAAAATTTAAAATACTTTAACGTAACGCTTATATTTTACTTCATCATCGCAACCATAAATCTTGATTCGAGAATCATTACTTGTAAGTGAACTGATTTGGTTATGGAATTTCCAAAGTATTTGAATCAAGATACTATACATTTACATATGAAAATTTATTCTTTACAAAGAAAACTTCACTTTTGTTGATATAAAACTAGTGTGATCAAATACTTTCATTGTCTACAATTTAGTTTTTGAAGATACGTTCGTGTTTTGGTTTAGGTTTCACAACTGATCTCATACAAGGCAAATTGGTATCAAGTGCCAAATGTCAATTTAAAGAACAATTTAGTAATGGATCTGGAAGGTTCAAATTCCCGATGTCGAATTCCCGATAACAAATCGCTAAATACACATTATCATTATCCCAAAAAACTATATCATGAATGTCGCAATCCGGAATATGTCAACATTAATGAATCGGTCAAATTTATTTCTTCTTTTATATTATGAATAAAAAGATTAATTCGATTAAAAAAATTTTTTTGTGCTGTAATAAAAATTAGTTTCGCATAAAAAAGTTTATAAATTAGATTGGAGTAGTAACGACGATATAATAATTTATAAATATCAGACATCGAGATTCGATTTTGAACGACATCCAATCTTATGTGCTAAATTCGTCATTGTTTAATAACAAATATTTATATATTTATCAAACTTTGACAATGATTGACTGAACGCAAATTCCCGCATCGCCACACATTCACAAATCGTGTATTTATTGACCAGATAATTTACTTATCTGTACACTCTTGTGGCTTTACTTGAAACCAAACTATTTATAATAAACAGCCTTTCAAGTTCACAATCAAAAAATATTTATGAAGTTATGTATTATAAAACAAGTTTTTAAAAATATGATGAAAATAGTGGCGTTGAAACATTAATCATTTGTTATTTATAAAATATATAATCCTTCTTACGTTACAAAATTTATATTTGAGAAAAAAATTATAAATATTATAAAATTTTAAACATTGCTAATAAAAAAAATTAAAATCAATTTTTTTTCTATCAAAAAAAAAATATTAAATCACCGAAATAAAACATTCGGATCAATCATGCGTTGACTTACCTCTGTTAATTCAATTTCATTTCAATTATGAAATTTCAAGTATTGAAAATATTATACGACATATTTTTAAGTTGTCAAGGAAAATTTATTACAGAGAAAAAATGTGAAAATATACCGTAACTTTATGCTTCAACAACACAAATTTCCTAATTGGATTTTTTAATATTGATCGGCACACGCTAATTTTTAGACTTTCCTTATATGCTGCTGAAATGTTTTATTTTTTACATCTCGTACAAACCTCGCACAAACATCCATGTGCGTAATTATGTTTATTTCGAAAAGCAATTGTGTTACAAACAAAACAAGAGTTGGGAATAAAACAGAGTAAAGGAGTGAATAACAATCCTTTTTCTGTCAAATTTAATCGTATTAATTCTAAAGTTTATTAGTGACTTTTTTTAAACCATATTGTATAGATCGATTGTGCTCAAACTGATTGATTTTGCCTTTAAATATTTATATTCTAATGATTGATAAGCAGAAAGTTGAAATGTTTTAAACAAATTATCAAATTGGCATTTCTGCTTTCCGTTATTATTGTGAAAATTTTTATGCTCGTCTATTATCAGAACTAAAATAGCTAATAGATAATTGGATTACTTTATATATCGTATCATCTGAAATCAACTGCATGCGTTTTGTTATTACATTCTAAATTATCGCCACTTTCCCAAAAATAAAACAAAAAAAAAAATGTTATTCCTACAATAATGAAAAACCTAATTATCACATGCCTGAAAAGAAATATACAGTATATTTTTTTACAACAATTGTAACAATGAACAGGTTTCCATCTTTAATGAATTTCCAATAATAAATATTTTCACAATAAATAAAGTAAGTTTGATTATTGAAAGATCATCTTTATTTGAACTATTAATAGTAATAATAAAAAGCTTCCAAACATTGCATTACTTTAATTGGCTAGCATTTTTGGGTAATTTCATGAATTCAAATCTTAGTGCGAGAAATTCCTTTGTAATAATGATTTCCAAAACTTTTAGCTTTTTTAAGCAATGAAAAAAAAAATGTTCAGTATAAATAGAGCAGTGGAATTCAAAGTTTTCTCCAATTCATTGAAATCTTTTCAAATACATATATTTGTTTAAAAACATTTCTCAATTTTACACAAAGTAATTTCTTTTTCTATTAGTATTTTAAAAAAGTATCGACATTAAAATTTCAGTATGTCGCAACCTCGCATTTTCACCAAATCAAATTTGGTTTACATACCGCTGTCAGTAACGACCGCTCACACATTAAATTTCATATTTAATTCTCCATTATCAACATGGCAAGAATTTCCTCCGAAATTACCTACCTCAGTATATTCTTCAATATTTCTTACTTCATTTTTATTGTTTTTATCACTTTCATTTGAACCAATTCCAATAAGAAGACGATTTTATACTTTATTATCGATCGCTCTTATATATATCTCAATTCCAATAAGTTTTCGCGGATTGCATACTCCTAAACTTCACAATATTTTTGTAATTTATGGAGCGGCGTTTGGATTAAAAATGTTTTTATTCTTAAAATATAATTGGTCATACTTGAATCAAGAAGGTTCGAATCAAAAGGAAGAATTTAGGTCATTTCTCTGGAAAATATTTAATTGCCGTTTTAACTCTTACATAATTCCTCCAAAAAAGGAAAATTCTGACGAAAAAGAAAATTTCTTGAAGATTCCATCACCTACAACTTCACAGATTAACAAAAAAATAATTTATCGCACCCTAATTGCCTTTACAAAATGTCTTATTCTTGAACTTACGATTTTCATTGCAACTAAATATACAATGGTAATTCCAGAGAAACCATATCAACTTCGTTTAATAGAATTTTTTACAAAAGGAATCCCTGCTTTTACAATACCTTTAATGTTACAATACCTAAATTTCCTTTTAAGTGTATACATAATGCTTTCCGTATATGCCTACGATATATACACTATTATTAGTGCAATCTTCTACCGTTTGTTCCTTCATTCCTCATCTGAAGATATCTATTATAAACCAATTTTAATTAAATTTGGCCTTCTCACTCCTTCCGAGTATGTCACCCTAAAAGAATGGATGATCATATTCCTTTTCAATACAAAACATTTGTTTAGTGAACCATGGATGGCATCAAGTCCTCGTGACTTTTGGTCTACTCGTTGGCAATTAATGATTAATGAAAGTTTCAAAGAATTAGGTTTTTTGCCAGTTAAAAATGTACTCGCTCCATTCGTTCCAAAGAAAATCGCAAATATGATGGGCGTGTTAGGTGCATTCGGTGTTAGAGCTTTATTGCATGAATACCTTATTATCGGACAATTTGATCTTTGGACAGGTGAACACGCATTTTTCTTTATGATCCACGGTGTCATATTCATCTTGTGGGAAGCTATTTTTGGTTGTGAAAACAAAAATGAAAATTCAAAAATTAAAAGGTTCTTAAAATGGCTCTTATTGTTGATTGTCAATTTGTCTGTTTTGCCAGCATTCATTGAACCTTTAAGAAGACGACCTGAGATTTTTAAAATTCCTTCATATATTGCTAAATATTATTAACAATCAATTCGAGGGATATTAAATTTATAAAAATTTATTGTTTATTGTTAAAATTAATTATGTTTATAATCCTGGAAATGATTAGATAGAAAACATTGAAATATTGAATAATTCATCATATAGTACGAAAATATTCATAAATAATCTTAATTATTCATATAGCATTATCATCATCACTTAACAATTTAAATAAAATATCATTTATTAAATATAATAAAAGGTCCACCTTTGTCCAAAAAACCAGTTAAACGATTTGACAAATATTTTCTTGGACAATTCCATCGATATAAATCACTATATAAAATTTAAATGCATTAATAAAATACATAACAAAAAATAAAAATCGTATTTAAACTTATAATATCAATATAGTTGTTCACACTTACAATTTTTGAATCAAATGAAATGATAATAAAGTTTATAAAGTTATAATAAAAAATATAAATTCGGTGGTTGTAATACAAACTCGTCGGCAACGCAAAAAAAAAATTTAAGGTGAATCCTTTTAATCCGGTAATCCTGATTACATATATATATATATATACAAAATCGAATTCATCAATCTATATTTATAATAATAATCCCAATTTAACAAATTCTAGTAGAAATACTCATTGATACATGACTGATATCACAATTAAGCAAAAAAAGTTAATAATTATAATTTTCTCCCAAACCGTTAACGAGATAGTCTTCATCATAACCTGAGAAAAGATTAAAATTTCTTGACTGTCAACCCTAATTCCAATTGTACGATGGTCATTACATTATAAGCAATTAATTTTATTAAAAATCTGGAAAAAAAATGGTAAAAGGTGTTAGTTAATAAATAGTATCCTTCCTAAATAAAATTATTTAGCGTCATTAGATACTGTATTAACATATTGGCATTAGCCAACTTTATTTAGAAATTCCGTTTGAAATTCCAAATATACGAATATCTCTAATTGTAGTTTTATGTTTAGCAAAGGATTCAGGAGGATTCATTTTTTTATTTTTTAGTAACTTATTTCTTTTTAGAATCAGTCCTAAGGTAAGTCTTGGAGAGAGCTCTATATTTGAAAATGAAAACTTAAATTAAAATATTTAAATATTCGAATATCCTATTTTCAAACGTTGGGGAAGATTATGTAATAATATATATTGTCCATATGAAAAAGTCCCACGGCACTAAAATTAAAAATTTATTGTCTAAATAATCATGGTATTTATAGTTCTCGTGACAAGATTATATCACAAAAAAAAAATGTCCGAACATTTATTTTGATCTAATTACATTTATTATTAGTTTATTTGCTGACATTAAAGAATTTGTCATTATTTACTGTAAGATCGAGAAGACTTATCTTGGTTAAGGTACAGTACACTAAATTAATTAATGTTAAAATCAAAGAATTTGAATTGATAAAACGCTTTGGATTTGAATCACCGATTTTCACGTAAATTATTTATTTATTATTTATAATGAAATTTAAAAAAATTTTAAAAATTTTGCAACTTGCTATGCTACGTTGAATATAAGTTAAAAATAAAATAAAATATAAACTTTACTTGAGAATGACATTTTCTTTCTATCTTTCTATTCTAAATTGCTTTAATATTAGTTTCTCAAAATGTCGTCTATTCAGTCAATAATAAAAAAGAAGAATAAAGAAAAATTTTGTTCAAATGGTTTCTAGCATTTGAAAATATTTAAAACAGTACTATCAATTTTAGGCAACAGATAAGAAATTGCGGATATCCGGATATCTATGGATATCCGTGCAGATATCCGCTGTGCATTAATTAGCCTAGTACATGTGCGGAAAATATATAATTATTTCAAGCTTTGTCGAAAGAGATTTTTTCATACAAAAGTTTAAGTTTCTAAGCCTTGCCATTATAACATTTATATTGAGAAATTACATTTTAAAAAATCTAAATTTAATAACTATCAAGTTATTACACAAATAGCTTTAAAAAGAAGTGAAATCTTCCGGAAAAACTATTTTGTTAATAATTTTCTAACCATGAATTTTCTTCAACTCGAGGATTTCTCATAACCTTGTTGTTGATGTAACTGTTATATTTAAATTCGTCAATGTACTTTCTTGTATTTTATTTAGAATAAATAAAATGTGGAGCACTTTTCGAAGTTTATTAAGAAATTAACTGAGCGTATTATGTAAGAAACTCAAAGATTACAGAGAATGCTACAGCATTATTTTTTTATTTCACGATTTAAATTACTGAATAGTTTATTACTACTTTTTGGGCGAATTTAAATATTGAATATCTTATTCTCATATGAAGAAGGTTACAAGATACTATACGCATGTAATGCACAATAAGTTATTTAAATTAGATTTTAAATGAAAGGATTATAATCAGTTGAATAACTAATTATTTCATGGACAGAAAGCAATGAAAATATTTTAGAAATTTTAAAAAGATAACAGAATTAATAACCAAAGTTCTAAGCAGAGAAATGGATACAATTTTATCAATATGTTTTGTTTGATCTACTTTGCAAACTGGAAGAAGCGTTTAACGCTATTTAGTAGATTATTTTCTAAAATAATTGTTTTTGTAATAATTGCATTTAATTTTTCAGCCACTTTTTTCATAGCTGGATGATTATACCAACATTCTAAAATAATTTAATTATTGAAAGCATATGATTTATATTCTTTATAAATAAAATATTATATTCACCAGTTTAAATTTTTACATAATCTTCAGGCGTATAGGAATGATACTTTCTCAAAGACCTTGTGAAATCTCGATGGCTAAATCAATATTGTATTATTCACCTTCAACATAATAAAGAGGACGTCCACTTGATATCTCCCATAACAATACTCAACACTATAAACGTCACTCTTCTCGATTAGTGTATATTTTTGCGATCCACCGTTACTTCTTTTTCGTCTGTTATATCTTTTTGAATCCATATAAGGCATCACATCAAAGACTTTTGACTGTTGTTTAGTTGCCGCTTTTATTCTTTTCGATAAGCCAAAATCGGCAAGTAATAATACCTTGATGAATTAATATATTTCCGGAATGCTATTAAATATAAAATAAATATTAGTAATTTCATAATTAAAAAAAATGAGATAGGCATTATATAAGATTTTCAAATCATGATGCATAATTCCTTATGTAAGCATTGATGGCAAATGACTAGGTCATTTGACCATTTTAAAATGACCCTCGAATGACTTTTGAAATACTAGATCTTAAAACAAGTCATTTTACAAATGACAAATGACCTTGCGTGACATTGTCATTTGAAGTCATTTAGGTCATTTAAAATAATTTTTTAATTCAATTTTAGGATTAAGTATATATAAAATATTTTAGTAATCTATGATGAGTTTAAATTAATATAGTGAATAAAAAATACCACAAATTTTTTTCATATAACGCATTCTATTAAAAAATTTGTCATTAAAAAAAAATTTGAAGAATTTTTTTTTCGTGCGATTTTGTTAAATTATATTAATGAAAATTATCAGTTATTAAAATCGATCGGCCATATTAAAAAAAATTTGAATTTTATTAACTGGAACTAGATTAGCCACAAAAATTCTACCATCAACATACATGCATGCCAAAAATAATATGGAATAGATCAGGCGTAAATGTCATTATTGTCATACATCTCACATTACAAATTTTAAAGTTATGTACTACATAATTAACTTTTCGTTCAACTTCTTAAATTAACTGTTAGCAATGAGAAATGTACATATATTCTTCCTTTTTTATAATAAAGGACAAATTTATTCTTCTTTTAAAAGACATTTATCACGATTTTTTATTTAAATAAAATGTTATACATAAATTTTTTTAAAGTCGCGTTTATAACATTTAGTGTGTCAAAGACAAAGACAAGAAAGATAAAGACAAAAGCAAATATTTCAATATTATAAATATAAGCAAAAAGTCATATAATTTTAGAGAACTCTTTACATTAATTAATTCACCAAAAAAAATAGCCAATAAACAAGCTGTTTGTAATTTTTGTATAAAGGAATATTCATTTTCTGTGACGTCAGTTAATGTTGGTTGCTTTGTTTCAAATAAAGTAAAACTCTGCCACAGACATCTTGTAAAATGTACAAATTTTAAAAATCAAGTAATAGAAAGTGAAAGAAAAGAAATTCTAACTATAAGTGTACCAGAAAATAATAAAAAAATTAAAAAGAAAAAAATTGACACGAAAAATATAATCATAATTGAAGGTACTAAATATTTAATAGTTTTAAATTACACTTTTCTTCCTAAGTTCTTTTATTTTTTAATTTCTAACAGAAATATCAATATTCTTTTTTTATGATATAAATTTTTAGATATTGAAAGTGAAGATGAAAGTGATGAAGAAAATGATAGTGATGATAATGAAACCTCAATTAACAAAACCAATCACTACTACTCAATTACCTATTACAAATTATTTATCACAACCTTTAACAACCCTATGAAAATAATCCCATACAGTTTTTGTGTAGTTTTCGTGCCAAAAAAAACACTACAATTTTCGAACAGTGCAGAGTGCCAAAACATGAAATAATCTGAGTACCTGTACGGTCAAATTTTAGCACATTTTTCTTACAACATCTGAATTAGGAAAATCAACTGTACTAATCGATATCATTTTTGTATGATTATTTTTAGCTTAAATTTATTATTATAGATAGTATTTTTGTCTGCTCTGTAAGTTTACTTTTAACGTCAAGAAAGGTTTTAAAGCTCAATTTGATATTATTTGCAATTTTTGTAAAAAATTAATTAATTTAATTTACCTACTTTTAGTAATATTAAATTTTCCATATGTCAATAAAATACAAAATCTGTATGTTTTAATTTTTTAATACAATTTTAATACAATTTTTATATATTTTAAATTTCAAATTTTTTTTCTGTACGATTTTTCTACGTTAAAATTTTTGTACAATTATTTTTTATGGAAAATTGAAATAACTACACAAAAGCTGTATGATTTCAGTATACACTTGTACGAAATCAGTACGAAACATGTACAATTTTTTTCATAAGGTTAAGAAAGATAAGCTATATTTTGAATTCTTATTATTACGAATATTAGTTTCAAATGGATTATCTTTTACTTTTTTTAATAATCAAGAAACAAAAGATGTATTTGAATTTATTGCTTCAACCTTAAAATTACCAAGTCGAAAAAGGATAAGTGATTGAATTTTACCAAAATCAACTAAAATGTTAACAGAATCTATTATAAAAATTACACAAAATGATAAAATTAGGGTAATAGTAGCATTTGATGTTTGGACAAATATTAAATAAGAGCATTTATTTGGTATTGTTTTTATAACATCAACCGGTAAAACACTCATTTGGGATGCAAAAGATATAAGTGATATAATATCAAAAACTGAAATTATAAATGATCATATTAAAAGTATAATGATTTAAGCTAAAAAAAATAATATTAAAATAAATTGTTTTATATCTGACTCAGCAGATGAATATGCTATTACGCGATATGTATAAATTTTATTATTTTAAAATTTTATTTATTAATTATTAATTAATTTATTTATTTAATAGAAGGATTATGCGAAAAGATTATCCTAATAAGTTATTTTTACCTTGCATGGCTTACCAAATTAATTTAATTATAGGGGATATTTTTAAAGAATCAGATATTTATCAGCAAACTTCAGCAAAAGCTGTTAAAATTGTTAGTTTTTTTCATTTATCAACTTATTTTACTAGTGTATTACGAAATGAGCAAGCATTCTTGTGTGATAAAACAATAGCTTTGGAATAGTTATTATTTCTGTTTTCACAGTATTTTAAAAACTAAAACAGCACTTAAGGTAATTTTATACTTTAATTTATTGATTAATAAATAAATATTCATTTAATTTTATTTTTTTAGACTTTAGCTACAAAATTTGCATCTGAACGTTTTGAAGGTCTTTTTACATCTCGAAGTGGTTATAAAAGACAAAGACATATTTTAAATTCAAATAAAAAATTCCTTTCTTCAGATATAATTGCCATTATTAATAACTATAATTTTTGGAACCATCTGTATAAACTCAAGATCTAATTTTACCACTTTGTATAGCATTAAATAAATTACAAAAAGATATAGCATGATAACATGAAGTAATTCTTACTTTTGGAAGGATAACCAAAGTATTTTTTAGTCATCAAAATGAGGATTTTTCTAATCAAATGATTATTTGCCTTGAAAATCGTTGAAATCAATGAGAACAACCTCTATTACTTTTCTTTAGTTTTACATCCACAGTATTATCTTTCACTTTTAATGATAATATTCTAAATCTTTCTTATACTCATTTTGGCCAGTAGATCAATTATTATTATCAGGTTTGGTTTGGTGTGATACCACAACATATTTTACGTGAATATCTATTTTATTAATGAAAAGTTTATCCTTTTGATATGCAAATTTTTAATCTACTTGGTGGGATATAATAGATTTTTGGATTTAGCAAAAAGGTAAGCACTTAAATTATCACACTTTGCACTTCATTTATATGGAATTTGTGTTAATTCAACCTCAGTAGAGTGACTTTGGTATAATATGAAATTTTTATACTCCAAAAGGAGAAATTGACTTTATGTAAGTAAAATTTAAACTTCTATTGATTTATTACTTTTTAATATATTATTAAATATTTTAATTTAATTTAAAAGCATAAAAAAGTGCTTGGAATGAGTCAATTAAGAAGTGATATTTTGCGTAAAAGAAAAAAAATTAAAAGTTGAAAAATCAGAAAAAATTTATAAACAAAATCATATAGCGACTCCTATACAACCTTATGAAATTTCTGATGTTTCGGATATTTCTGAAACTTCTAAGAAAGATGATGATGATAGTGAGATGGCTGATGATATAACAATTGGTGATGAAGAAGAATCCTTTACACAATTTCATGAACCTGATTTTAAATTCATTGACAATGATACCATTGATTCAACATTACAATGGGTGCGTGTAATTCAAAATTGGATGGGTATGATTGGTGAGGAAAATTTTTCAGATAGTGATAAGGTAAATCTATCAGCTTTTATAGCTGTAGATCCTGCTGATGATCCGCTTGCAAAATGGCATCTTAGTAGCATTTTCAATAATATATTTGAATCGGTCTGAATTGGTAAATATATTGTAAAAAATTGTTTGAACTCGTATCATTTAAGTTTTCATATTATTTATTTATAATTTATTTCTAATTTATTAAAATATAATAAATAATTAATTTATAATAGTAAATTACAAATAGAAAAGAAATTTGAATTATAATTTTTTATAATTTTTTAAATTTAGTTCGTTAAAAATGCGCGTTTAATAAATATGTTAAAGATAAAATAATTGATTCAGGAAATGACTGTGTCATTTGTCATTTGGTGCCAAAATGACCCAAATGACACGTGACTAGTCATTTGAGTTATTTTAGGTCATTTGGGTCACTGGCCTTTAACAAACCAATACTTTTTCAATTGATCAACTTGATTTTCTAATATTTTTTTTTTTTATTTTTTTTTTTTTAAATGAATTAAAAATAAAAATAAGAATAAAAATAAATTTTATTTGGTAAATCATGTTACTAAACCACCGCCAAGATTAGGTTGATGTGCGCTGAATGTAGTATTCTCTGATTATTATTATTATTATTTTCTATATTTAGTATTATGCAAGTTTTGTTTTGCATTCGTTTGAATTAGTTAAGTTTATTTTTTTCATTTATTTAATTAGGTATTTACTTTTTTCATTTTTTTACGGATTTACAGATCATATGATTTACTATGTTCTGTAGGTGATAGGGTTATCGAAAGTCGGAAAATCGTCAAAGTCGATTGTAATAACGGTTTTGAATCTCAAACTCGACAAAATCGTTTAATGAATACGACTTTAAACCTTTTCATTAGCCGACTAACCTTCCGAACTCTAACTCTAAAGCCACGCAATAATGCATTTTTTTTTTAGTTATATTTTTTTCTAATAAGCCTTCCCAATCCCTAACACTAAATCCACGCAAAATCGTTTCTACTAGACAATTATTAGAAATTCTTCATGAATTTAACTCAGAAATCTGAAATTCATTAAAGCCTTTAAATAATTAAAAATGAATTAACTAAATTTAATTTTAAGTGAACAATTTAATATTGTATAATTGTAATATTAAAAAAAAATAAAGTTTTAAAATCAAAATGAGATGTCACGTGATCGACGAATTTTGATTAATATTTTTTTAATAAATAAATATTTATAAATGAATCTTTAAAATGTTTTATATACCCCAAAAAATTAACATCGTTTTTTGCCGTTTTTTGATTTTCAAAATTCCAATCCCTAATCACACATATAGCTAACCTTAACTATTACATTTATTTAAAGAATGGTAATATGGTGTTACTTGGCATATGTTATAATATATTTAAGCTTTTCTTTAGACGCAGCATTATCCAATTATTTTGTATAACGATCATTCCTTTTTGGTTGGTATTACTAGAGCAAAAATATTAAAGAGAAAAAAAGGATAAATGAAAAGGTTTGCTATATTTTTAAAAAATAAGTTTTTTTAATGAACTCTTGTTTAATTTATTAATAGAGAGGTTGGAACAGGTTAAATTTTTAACCGGTTATAACGGTTAAGGATATTTGGGCCGGTTCTTTGATAGATTAATATTTTAACGCACTATTACTTTTATCGTTAGTTTGAGAATTTGTTGTATTAATTAAAAGGAAGGATAGATATTTCAAAAAAAAATAATATATATAATATAACGATAAAAAAATAAAATAACTCGAGTTAATGTTTCGGGTTAAACCATTTTTCCAAATCCAGAACATTGCGGATTTTGATGAACGATCCGAACCATGATTCTAAACTCCGTAACTGAGGCGAAACTCAAATATAAAATCGATATAGCCTAACTAAACTTCAAGGTATAAATACCAAAATATTTACAAATATCTATCTAAATCGTTAATTAAGATTGTAATTTTAAGGTCCAGCAAAAAAATAACTATAAGGCCGGCATGGCGACTTTTATCTATTAAAGGAAAGATCTATGTAAATATTACGAAAATAACTTTTTACTTTATTTTCTTTTTTTTTCTTATTATAAATAAATATTTTTTTCTTTTAAGTCAGAAGTACTTCTTGAGTATTTCTGTTCTTTCACATTATTTTTTGGCAATGTTGAATGTCATGAAATATATAAATCATATGATCCGTGATGTGATTTTACTGGCAAATCTCATTGTAAATCGGAAATCTGTGGCTGAGGTGCATTATAGCATGATGTACATTACACAATTCAATTTTTTTATATAATAATCTAAACGGTACACTTTTTTTTTTAGTTATATAAATATAGATTTGTAATTCGGCTAACAATGATCGACATGCATTAAAAAATATAATATAATAAGAACTTGCCGAAACTTGATTTTTTTAAAAAAAATTTTTATTTTTTGATTAATCAATTTTATTTCTATATAAAAGCCTTTTTGCAAGTATACTATTTTATAATGGCAACAGAAAAAAGTGTTCCATGTGTTTGTTTGCTTTGCTGTAATAATAATAATAATGGTAAATATGTGAGTATTGCCACCCGAACAAGTCACCGACGAAGAGAAATAACATTTAATAATGATGTAACACCGCTGTTATATGATAATGATATAATAGATGGTAGGTTAGATACTGATAACAAATATGACAATCAAAATATCGACTTAGAAATAAATCAAATAAATCAAATAGATGATACATCAACTAAAAATGAATTAGAATTAATAAGTGAAGTAAGTGAAAATAGTGATAAAGAAGAATATATTAATATAATAAGAGAAGATTATGAAAAAGAATATGTTAATATAGAGGATGGTAATGTTAATTATGATATTATAGAGGATGATGATGATGATTATGATTATGATGAAGAGAATATGGATGATTATGATGATTATTATGATTATGATAGAGAGAATAATTATGATGATGATGATGATTATGAGGAGGATGATGATATTATAGAAGTTGATGATAATAATAATATAAGTAAATATTTGATTTATTAATTATTATAAAATTTAATCATACTAATATACTGTAATTATTACTAGATTTAACAGACAATTTAATAGAGGGACTTCAGCTTCTTTATTTTAAGGAACATCATACAATTTCGGATAAAGCATTTAATCAAATCTTGAAAGTTTTTGGTTTAAAAGATATTTCTCTTTTAAAACTTAGAAAAAGATTAAAAAATATCGTTCCACTTAAACCAAAACTTGTAGACATGTGTTGGAATTCATGTTGTGCATTTATTGGAAAAGATGCAAATTGTGATGCATGCCCCACATGTGGAGAACCACGGTATATATCTGGAGAAGAACCAAAGCAACCTCGAAAGTTAGCTGCATACTTTTCTGTTATTGATAGTTTAAAAATGCAATACAAAGATCCATTCCGAGCTAAGATTCTTCGATATCGACATGAATATACATCAAGTAAAGAATACTTATCTAATAATGGTAAAATTGGAGATGTGTTTGATGGCAATCGGTATAAGTCTCTAGTTGAATCAGGCTTATTTACTGAATATCGGGATGTTGCTTTAATTGCATCAACAGATGGCTATCAGTTATTTAGAAAGAAACGAAATCACTGCTGGATTGTATTACTTTTAAATGCAAATCTTCCACCATCCCACAGGGTAAAAGAAGAAAACTTGATGATTGCTGCAGTAATTCCAGGACCAAAATCACCAAAAGATTTTAATAGTTTCTTAAAACCACTGGTAGATGAACTAAAGCATCTTGAAGGTAAAATTTATTTTGATATATAAAATAAATTTCATGTTGGTTTTTATTAATCGATGATCAAAAACTAATCCACTTTTGATAATTAATTTTTAGCTGGTGTAATGTGCTATGATGCGGCATCACAAGAAACATTTACATTACGAAGTCATATTCTGTCATGGTCTGGCGACATTCCTAAAATCATGTGTCTTTTAGGTCATAATGCACGAAATGGATGCCATTTTTGTTATTTACATGGAATGTATTCTAATATATCACAGCATATATATTTTCCACTTCAGAAACCACAAGGATATGATGGAACTAATTATAATCCAGAAAATTTACCAATGCGTTCACATACCAGCTATCTTCAAGATATTCAAGCAATAGAAAATGAAGTGGGAAAAGCAAGAATTAGAGTACAACGTGAGCGAGGTGTAAATGAACGTAGTATCTTATTAGAATTGCATTCTATTGATTTTCCTGCATCATTTCCAATCGATATTATGCATGAACTTTTTGAAAATATAGCTCCACTTATGTTTCGTCATTTCAATGGGAAATTTTTTAATAATGAAACACTTAATAATACTGATTATATGATTTCTTCCAATAGCTGGAAGGAAATTACAAAAATAATTAAACAAAATCGAAAAATGATGCCAATGGAATTTGGAAGATATCCTCTTAATATCAAAAAACGCCACTCTGCTTTTGAAGCAGAAGATTGGTATAATTGGATAGTTTTATATTCAATTCCGCTCCTTCATAACTATTTACCTGAGAAATACATTAATGGGTGGGCAAAATTTGTTAAAGCAACTCAACTTTGCCTTGAACCAGTCATTTCTAAACAAGAACTTGAAGAAATTCAAATACTTTTTGTTGGATTTGTTCGCCATTATGAAAAAGAATATTATCAAAGAGATTCCGATAGACTACCAGCAACTCTTATCAGCTTTCATTACCTTTTACATATTATGAAATCAATTCAAGAAACAGGTCCAGCATGGTCAACATGGAAATTACCGATGGAAAGACTATGTGGTATGTTAGCTCATTCTTATCAGCATCCATATACAAATTTTATAGATCATACAACCCTGTGGACACAATTGGCGCACTTGCAATACATTAATCAGAAAATTTTTGGTGATCAAGATAAAACTAAAATTCTACCATTAGAACGTGCTTTTAGTTTTTCAATAACTGAAGAGAAATTACATTCACCATCTCAAAAGTGTAATTTGACAAAAATAGAAATTCAAAAGGTTAAGCAATATTATGCAACTGCATTGGATTTAATGATAAATGATGTAGGTGAAATCATTGAACAGATTCAAAAATATGGAAAGCTAAGAACCAAATCTGGATCATTAATTGGCTCAAAACTTGTTAAACGTAAAAGTAATGTTGCTCGTAATAACTATTCAATTGCTGCAAAACTTTTAGTTGACAAGAATGCACATCTACCAAGTGCGCCTTTTGACTTTGAAGAGCGGGAGTTTTATGGTCAAGTTTTATACTACTTTGTACATGAATTTAATGAACAGTTATCAATGCTTGCTTTTGTAAATTGGATACAAAGCCCAGAAATATTAGGAAATAATATACAATTTTTTCATAACTTTGGGGAAACAAGTGTTATTAGTATAACTGCTATTGATCGTTGTGTAGGATTTCTTGAAGTAGCTGCAAATAAGCACATTATAATTGATAGAGAAAATCGGGTACATTTAGATAATGTTTCATTAAAAAAAATTAATTAGGATTTGGGTATTATCCGTTTTAAATTATCAAAGCATTTTCAGTATAATCGGAATATTATTTTATTATATTAAATTTATAGATTTTGACCAACATATTATTCGCAATGTAATCGGAGCATTTTCAATATATTCAGAAATGGAATGTATCAAATAAAAATTTTTTATAGGGGTAACGTTCTAAAAATTTAAGCGTAAAAAAGAATTGGCAGGAAAGTCTTACAGAAGGGCACGCATTCCCTTTTGCATTCGAGACAAATATTTTTTTCTGGATTTACATATATATCGCATCCATATTCCTCGACTAAATTTTTTTTTTATTGTTAATTCATATCATTTCTAAAAACTATCTTTGATTTACTGAATTCTTTTTTAGCTTTTACCATATACATTTGATAAACTTAAAAGAAATATTATCTGAAATCTTTAAGATTGTATTGGAAATGACTCCTAAAACTTCACAAGAAGTGCTGCGACTTTTCTTATTGTAGATTTCTCAGAGTTTTTTTTGAACCAAAATCCGTTGATGTCAAATATTTGTAAGATATTGAGATGGAAGATATAAATTATTTGGCAGTTTGCTTAAAGAAGAGATGATAGTAAATAAAAATTTGATGTATGACAAATTAATATATTAATCAATTAAATTACCAATGTTTATTAATGGATTTCGAATTATTTTATTGTGATAATTAGACCAAACTTTTATCGCATTATATATTTGCTCATCATCACGTGAACTTCACTTTTATCTTTTTTTTTATCCTGGTATTGCGTATAAAACGTTTCATTAAGCTTGATTGGAGTTAACTTACATCTGAGTGAATACACTATTGCAAAACCAGGTGGATGAGGCATAGGATTAATGAAATTAATTTATGACATCTACCGAATTTCTAAAATATTTTTTCCACCATACTATTATATTAAAGAACTAAATTTGTCAAAATTATGAAAAAATTGTTTTATCATTTGGAGTTCGACTCCATATGATAATTTTATGTTTTAAAGAAAAAAACAGTGGATATCTAAATGATTATTCTTTAGTTCATTACTTTTTTTTGTTTGAAAATTGAATCAGAATGATAAAGAAATCATAACTGCTGCAGCAAATGATTTTTGTTCCGTGGCTTTGGTGTTTTGATTATAATCAATTTAATAATTAATAATTTATAATTTTAAGATCTAAATAGCTAATAAATGTCACTAGAAGCTAATCATTTCGCCCAAAGTCGAAACCGAAATTTGCGAAATTCCGAAAATGCGAAATCTTCCTAAATTGCCCAAAACTCCAAAATTATAAGTTTGTATTAAAAAAAAATATCATAAAGCTTTACCCATTATATCGAAATATAATCTAATATTTAATAAAGTCTTGTGAGTGACATTATTAATTGAAAAGGAATCTAAAATCAATGCTATAATAAATCTACTTTTCAAACTGTCTTTTCTTACAGTGAAACCGATATTATATATAAAATTCAACAAGATTAATTGTCCGTTGTTTAAATCGACTAGCTGACATATTGGCACTGAACTTGAAATTCCAAAATTTAAATAAAATAAGGTTTTATATAACAAAGTTTACTTCTATTTATTATTAGTTTATTAGTTTAAATTTGGAAAATAATTCGCAGTGTATAAATACTGTAATTGAGCAGACTCATTTCACAATGATTAATTCTTCAATGAATAATTCATAAAATTCATAAGAAGATTTTATATGAAGATTTTAATTTCAAATTTCCAAGATGTACATATTAAAATTTTTACTCGTCAGATTCATGTTATCTGACTTTATTATTGTATTTTATATCCGTGTTTATTTATATTATAGGGAAAGAAAAATAATTTACTGTTTAATATAAAATTTTTAACATAATTTTTTTTAATAAAGATAAATTAATTAAAAAAAATAAACAAAGTGCATTGGTGTAGTAATAGCAATTTATTATTTCATGTATGAGAAGTGACAAACGCATTAACTTTATCAACTTCATTAAACTTATTGGCTTTAAATTTTATACAAAGAAATTTACATTTCCTGTGTAAAAAAAAAAATATATAAATATACACAATTAAATTAAATATCACTTGCTGGCTGTTATTAATTTCACTTCAAATAGATTATTTTTAAAAAGATAGTTAGTCTTGTTTAATACAAAAACATTTCATAATAAATGCACTTTTTATATTACCGGTAAGTAATTTTCAAGAGTCAAATTAGCTTTGTCTTCATTTAAACTCATATGTCATGATTATAATGCAAAATTTTTTCATCCTATATTATTAAAAAACAAACATAAGAACTGTTCGCAATAATAACGATTATAAGAACTTGTTATAGTGATTCATTAGAAACGCTTTACGCTTTCTTCTAAAAATTTAAAATAAATCACAACTAATATTTATTAACATAATATAAATGACGTTTCGGATAGATTTTGCCTTAGTTACGGAGTTTAGGACTATGTTTCGGATTCGAAATCAGAGATGCCTAGATTTTGAAATGATACATTATATACAAGGTTGGAAATTTTGTATCTACTAGATAAAATTAACACTGTACTTGTACTGTACTTGTACTAATTTTTATATTAATTATTATAATGTACTAACAGTACTAATTGTACTAATCACTGTACTAATACTGTACTTCCCATCCCTGATTATGTATACAGTCACATATTATATAATTCATAAAATCTATTTATATTATTGTCACCACTTAATTTCGTAAAGAGGTGATTAATTTATTATGTAGGACATAAGCGATTATAAGAAATAGAAAATAAAAGAAATTTATTAACAAATTACATGAATGACCAACTATTATTACCTCAACCGGCGCTCTAGTATAGACATTATGAAATGAATAAAATAGATCTTTTAATGTTAATGCGGGAGAAAGGTCGGTTTGATATCAGTAAATTTTATAAGAACATAATTTATTTTATACATAATTTAGGATTATCGTTCACGATTCTTCTCATAGATGCGCACGCCACAATGTGATATGACAAATAATTAGTGACAAATAGGATTTCACTGCAGATTAAATAGTAAAAGATGAATTATGTAGGAGTGACAGAATATTAAATAAGATGCTAGGGAAGATTATGGTTACTATATATTTACTGTGATATTGCATGGTTAATGCTACTAAAGTTTATGTAAAAAGTTTACTCTTTTCAATTTTGAAACAATCTATTCAGCTTGAAATTCTTAAAGGTGCAAAAGAAAACCCTATTTCAACACAAATGTAAATTTGGTAAGCTTTATCAAAGTAAGTATAAAGCTTGATTTCATTAAAGCTCATTGTTCTTTTATTATCTAATTCATTTATCTAACAGAATGTTGGCAAAATGAACCAGATGAAAAGATATTAATCACGTAATTTCGGAATTTAAAAGTATAAACATTTCTAACTCAGAACTGTATAAGAATTGAAGAACTAGTACATGATGATGAAGAAGATCACTTCTTCGATTGTGATGTAATTATTGTATAAAATTTTTTTATTTATATTTATATTTTTTATTTAAAATTGTTTGAATAGCGAAGGAAGCTAAAATACATATATATTTATTTTACTCTTTTTCGTTATCATGTATTTCACCATCGTCATCCTCTATATCTAATCTTCTGAGAGAAAAAAATAACAAACAGTCAAAAGTATTAAATAGTGTAAAGATGCAATAATTGATCGATGCGGTCCCGAAAAGATAACAAAAGAAATTCAAACAAAAGGAAAATTTGATTTGTCTTACACGGAAATGACAAAATTTGTCAACAATATTTTTCAATAATATTATTGATTTATCGTAAGAAATTATAACATAAATATTAAAATTTATGAATTCTACTAGTTTAACGTTAAGCTCTAAATTTGAAAATAATAAACTTTTATTTAAAGATAATATTGTTAATTAATTACACCATGTCATGTTTTTAGTAAAATTAATTATAAGGAATAAATTATTATTTCTTTTTAAAAAAAGTGAATTTCTGTATTTATAAGATAAATGATGCTAAAAAAACCTTTATTTTGAAACAATAAAAAGTTCTATTATTTTAAAGTTAATATAATTATCGCTACATGTTATAGATTCCTGCTTGATTCGATGAATAGTCATAGTCCAACACTAGATGAATTGTACTCTCAGATAAAATTAATATATTAGCTACTATCTTTTCGCTTGCATATTTATGTTTTAGCAAGATAATAAAACTTGTCCCTAGTTCAAATTCTTGAACAACACTCAAGACTTTATTTACATGCTTTCCGGCTTGTTTTCGGATGGTTTTTTAAATAAAGAATAGATTACTTTTTCGAATCGTTCCTTCAATTAAGCATAAATTTATTGATATTCTAGTTTTAATGAATTGAAATTATAAAGTCTTCCGAAATAATTTCTCCTCTTAAACTTTATGCTCAATTTTATTATTTTTCATAAGTTTCTGAGATTGTTTATAATTGAACCTTATAAAATATTAATGAGTCAGGAATTTGTGAACTTCTTAACGTGTTATATTTTTATTAGGAAACTTCAAGTAAAAATTTCATAATTCATAACAACAGCAAGATTAGTTCGCATAGGTTAATGCGCTGCGCACTTAAAATTAAATAGATTAACTGAATACTAATATTATTACATTAAATTAGCAAAAAGTTTGGATCACTACACTATTATAATAACTTACTAAAAAATTATTAATTTAATAATATAGAAAACCTTTTCTATTATATCATATCTCATCATACAAATCATTAAAAAAATCTTATTAATAAAAAAGCTGAATATACAAATCAATAAAATTTTGCAATATTAACGGTCCATCGTTTAAGAAGACTTTAGTATTTATCACATTACTTCAGATAAATAATGTTCTTTATCATCATGATCATGGTTTCCAATGTTTATGACAGGAACAGTAGGTGATTGTTCTTTCTTTTTTGCATTCCACCTATAAAATAAAAACCCACAAACAATTATTATAACGACGCAAAAAATTGCTCCAATGGATGCTATTACGACTTTCATTGTCACTAATTCTTTATTGAGATTGCTAATTAAGGAAGAAGGTTTCGGTGAAGGATCTGTTTTCGTCCCTACGTTTGTCACTTCGAATGAATCAACCCATGTATAATTTCTAATATCCATTATGTAAATATTAGGATTTCTTAATGATAATGGACTAGAATTTGGTTGTGTAATATTTCCTGTCATAAAAATAATTTGGAATATATTATAATAAATTAAAAAGGATAAATCATTTCTATAAGATAATATAAAAAATTGTTGCTTACCAAATGCTACGATCATATAATTTTCAACCAGGTCCGCTGTATGAATTGTAAGTGATGGAACTTGACCAATTTTGGATGTAACTGGTGGTATAGTGAATTCAAATTGTTCCGATTTTGTATTTAAAGCGAAAAAATCAGGAACAACACGCTTATTATTATCAACGCCGTTACTGCCGCCATAAATTAAGATCTCATCATTCGAAGCTATTTTAAATAAAAAAATAAATTAATAAATATTTTGAAGATACTCATATTCTATAAATATTATCTTGTATACCCAATACAGCCGCATGTCCATTACGATTTTCAATCATATTTGAAGCTTTTGCTATCTATAAGTAAATAAATATAGTAAATTAGTATCATCCAAAATAAATTACTTATTTAAATACTATTTAATACATTTATTGAAATCATATCGATCCATCCACATCCACAATTGATGAATTAAACATAAACGCTGATGCAATAACAACACCAAGAAACTCTTATTTCAAATTCGATACGATATAGGTTTAAGTAAACATAAACTTTTCCCGAACGTTTTGTACCTATACGCATTCTGACGTTCTTTTTTCATCAGTAAAAATTACGTCGCGTCTAATTAGGAATCGTGAAACAAATAATATTTATACCTACTTTCTCTGACCAAGTTAAAGAATTTGTATCATAAAGGTAAATTTGTCTAATATCAACTAATCTTGTTGTATTAACTTCAACCATTTCCATACCACCAATATATGCAATAATCCCACTTGTTAATAATGTTGCAGTATAACCAGTTCGTATACTAGGCGAATTAACTGGAGGATTATTTAACCATGAAGATTCAACAGTATTCAAAATGACCATGTCATTAAATAACGTTATTACTGTTGCACCAATAGCTTGTCCACCAAAAATATATATTTTTCCGGTATTAACATCAATGATACTCTTCATCTTTCTGCGTCTTTCCGGTAAGATTCCTCTGATATTAGGTATATTCCACCTTAAAGTGTTAAAACCAAATGTATAAATACTTGACACAAAAGCATCTTGATCTGTAGAATTGTCCATAAATCCGCCAAATAAATAAATAATTTGTTCTTTAGCATTTAGTGAAACAGTTGCCCAGCAGCTTTTGAATGGTATTTCGGCATTTTGCGTGAGGTCAACCCATGGCGGGACCGCTGTTTTAAATGGGCGAGACACATCAAGATAGAATACTTCATTTAAACATTTAAGATCATTGTTCATTCCGCCAAAAAAATAAAGTTTATCTCCAACAAGGACAGAAGAATGAGCATAGCGTCCTACAGGAATAAATGACTCGATTATTACGAATAAATGGATTATTACGAAGATTAAACATAATTTGAGCAATTTATATATTTTGAAATTCATATTTTAATTAAAAAAAAATTTTTTTCTAAAAAAAAAAAAATTTACATTTTAAAGAAATCCAGAATCTATATATCTCTAATTTGGCTTAATTTGTATAACAAATATAGATGACGACTGTTGCATTTGATTTTATTTACGTATTACAAACCAATTACATTACAGTAGTATGGTAATATAACAATATTTCTGTATCACTTCTAGAGCTGTGCCCAATCGACTATAAACTTCGGAAATTTAAAAACTGGAGCAGTGAAAACAAACCCTGAATATTCCTAACTCCCCATCAATTACTTAGTTACTGTATACCCAGGAGCGTGTTGTGATACATCACATCAACCTTTGTGAAATATAAATCTTTATAAGTTGTGTGAATCTTAGTGATAAAGTAGTAAACCTTCGTGCTATGTGAATTCTTATAACAAACTATTGTAATGTATAACAATAAATTATACTTTCATACTCAGAAGCATGTGACTTATAATCGCATGTATAATCTTTTTATATTCTTTACAATTTTCTCACATTCGTTAATTTTTTTTTTTTATTTTTTTACTAAAACTTAATAACGGTGTTAATTAAAATTTTTCCATTTTTTTTTTTTGAATAAACAAATAAATAAATTATTTTATTTTTTTAAAATTTTAAAGGAAGAAAAGCTAATGATACTAAAAGTAACCAAGTATTGACCTTTGACCTACGAAAGATTTATTATTTCAACTGATAATAATTTACAAACCATTCAAGCTTATTCTCGCGTTACTAATATTATTCGAAAAATCAAGGTATTATAATAAATATATATTAATACTAATATTTAATAAACTATAAATATTTAACTATTTTATAGGTTTTACTTCTGCTTCATAATTATTCCATCAAATTCAACTCTCAATCAAAATATAATAACGTAAAGAACATAAAACACCAAAGGAAATGCCACAAATTAATATCATCGAAAATATTAATATTCATAATTGTGATAGTGTAAAATTAGACATTTTAATTAAAGTACTAAATTAATTTTTATAGTAATACATAATAAAATTTATTTGTATTTAGATTTAAATTTTTTAAAAATTTTGTAATTCTTCACAAAAATAGGTCTTGCAAAACAAACTAAATTACACTCGAACGAAGTAGTGCTGTTGTACCCGAAATGCGTTAATGTCCGAAATGATCATTTCGGACATTAACAGTGCCACTTTGATATGAAATATTCATTAGTAGGACTTTTTCTATAGCTGCTTCATGGTTCTGAAATAATATCTGATCAAGTTAGAAATGATAAATATTTGAATATACAAAAAAAAAAAATTGAAAATAATTAATTTCACCACATTTTACATAGTTAAAATATAAAAGACTCAAAAATAATTAGCGATCAACACTCGCAAAATGAACCATACCTGCTCAAATTGAAATAAAAAGAGAGAAAAAAAATATATTATAAATTATCAAAAAAAATCTTTTATGAATCCAGAAAAACATCCAATCCGTTCGATTACTGCAACTAAAACGACTTAACCCGAAACTAAAAAAAGATAAACAAAAAAATAAATAAATACACCGACTAACCTGATGTTGGTCCGAAGTAAACCTAAATGAAAGAAAAAGACGCAATAATTTAGATTAAATGTTGCGTCTCAATTTCAATCGAACACACCAGCAAGAAAGAGAATTGAGCAAAATTAAAATGATTATTTCATTTCATTTTTTTTTTTTTTAGCTTGAAAAATGTTGAGTTGATGAATTAACATAACAATGGGAAGTTCTTTAGTAACTTTAAACGGCTATGTAAAAATTGATATTTATGAGGCTCTAAAACTACAGATTCAAATTTTATTTATTTTTTTTTCGTTGGTTTTTATTTTTTAAATAAATAAATAAAAATCCAGAATACATTTACCTATCATTTAACTAACATACGTATACACCTAAAAAAAAAAAATAAATAAACAAAATGTACAGCAGCCCAACGCAAAAAGGGCACTAACTGATAAATTGTTATAAAACTCGATACTGCGGTTAAGTTATAAATTTATATTTACGATAATTACGCCAATTTCTCACGAAATCGCAATATATTTTGTAGGCAATCGAGCTAGATGGGGATTTTGACTGCGCCAAAATTGGATCACCGCTGTTATGACGATCAATATATGTATTTTTACGACTTGCGGCCTCCTTAGTACTTCAGTGAGTGCTTTTTCAGCAGTTTTTAAACTTTCTCGACCGGTTTTAACTCCTTCTAATAAACTGGCTTTTTCGGTTTCATATGATGAAACCTATAATTATTTTTTTAAATGTTATACGAGTTGGTTAGAAATCTAAGAAACGGGATGAAGAAAATCACATTCTCGCACGAAATTTTAGCTTAAAATGAATTTATGAAAGGAATATTTGAATTTAATAACTTGTCTTTATTTACCTTAAGAAGATTATTTGTAAGAAATTTGTAAAAAAAAAATTACTTTTTAGAAATAAAGAGAATACTCCACGTGCATATGACTAGTGCTCCGAGCCTGGTCGAATCGACCCGGGTCATTTGACCCGACTCGAGAAAAAATTCGAGTCGGGACTATCATTTTATGTCACGAGTCCTAATTTCTTAAAAACCAGGGTCACGAATTTGCTTGACCCGGGTGACCCGGACGATCAGGTGATGTGATTAAATGATATAAATGACTACAATTTAAATAATGAACGAAACTATGAACTTACTAATTCAGGCAACATAGCTTCTCTTGCAAGCAATGTGAAATGAGCTTTTTGCCAAAGAACTTTAAAGACAATATTTTTCCAACAGAACATAAAAATTTAAATACATCGTGAAGTTAGATGTCAACTGCTCTTATGTATTTTTATAGTGGGTTATTATTATTTTTTTTTATTTTTGAGAACTTATAGGACAAAACATGACGTTGCAATATTGGTGATTAAAATACAACAAATATTCATAATCCAAATAAAAATGAAATTATTTCAACAAAGCAATGTTGAACGAGTTTAAATGTGTCTTGAAGCCGATACAATTCGCGCGTGTATAAGTTCCAATTCCTGGCAATAATATATTTAAAAAAATCAAATTTAAAATAATGTACTACCAAAGAACTTTAAAAATAATAAACTTTCAAATTTAATGCATTTTTAATTATCTGTATAAATAAAAAATTTTTTTCGGTATAAATATTACTCTTAAAAATTCGGGTCGAATCCGAGTTAAACAATAATCAGGTAGGGTCGAACATGATCCTGTAAATATTAACGGGTTCGAGTACGAAAATGCTTCACCGACCCGACCCGACTCTTACGGAGTACTAGTGTAAACAAAAAGTTAATTTTGCTTTATTATTGAATAATATAAATGACTATTAATCACAGCGTGAACTTTTCATAACTAATCATTTTGATATGTTTGCTGCGATTTGTAATGCATGTATCTCGTTAGTCGCCATATAATAATCAACTTGTAACTTGTCTTAAAATGATTCTTTGATTCTTTGATTTATCAATAACAAAATTTCAATTAGAAATTTAAATTTCTAAATTACTTATACGAAAAATGATGCATCTGTTACCTCCTATTTGCGTAAAAGAGGTAATTTATAGATTTTAGTTAGACAATAACAATGTAACGAAAATAGCATGTAGATCGATTTTATCGAATAAAGTAATGAAGTTTTATTAAATAAAGTAAAGGAAATAGTTTTATAATAAATGATAAAGGAATACAAATAATGCACAATTACTGCCTCTGCTTTCGCTCTGTAATAGGCCCAAAGAGAAAAAAACTATCTAAAACTAAGTTGTTACAATTCTATCGTTAAACAAGATCGAAACGAAACTCTTTTATAGTATAAATTCCTTCCTATGGCTTTGCTACGGCATTCTCTAGAACTTGCGGCTTGGATGACGGAAGAGCCAATTAATTGATCACTGATGTCAAAAATGGTCATTTTGACATATATATTTCAACTTGCCAAGGAATCCGTATTGTCCTAAAGGTCCAAGATGTCAATACCAACAGATCAGAATTGACATATATTGATCGTCATAGCCGCAGTCAAAACCCGAAGCTGACAATAACTTTTATCAATCTTAATAGATTTTTATGTTATCAAACATTTCATAAATTTCTAAATTTTAAAAATGACAAATAATAAATGTAAAGCTAACGAAGTTTAGAATTAATTAATTCTGCAGCTGCCGCAGATTTCTTTCCAATTTTGCCAAATATTGATTACGGTAATCTTTTCAACAATTTCAGGGCTTGTGGCAGCATATTAAGGTTTTAATGTTAAAGCTCCATTCTTCAGAAATGACGAAAGATCATTAAATAATATTAATCAAAAATATAAAAATCGAGACCTATTCCGTGTATTTATTTCCAATTATGAAAGTTTATAATCAGAGAACACGTTATAATTAATTTTCGAACTATAATAATCTATTTTGATGACGATTTGACTTTGTTAAAATATAAAGAATGCAGAAAGTACAATTGCAGCCGAAGTTAAACTAAATATACAATCAATTAAATAAATAATGTTTATTATTGATGTAGCTAAGACGCAATACTTATAATTTAAAATTTTCTAAATTTGAAATCTATTTTTTTTTAACTATAAGGTGGAAATTTGTTAATTTAGTATGCATCATGCCATACTGCCTCGCAATTATTAATAACTTGCATAATACAATTCTTAAAAAAACAAATTCAATAATTTATGATAAAATTAAATATTTACCGTAACATTGTTGTCCCCAAATACTGCGGTAAGAGGCAAGATCTTCACAATATGTATCACCATTATCGTTATACAAGATAATTTTTGGAAAAAAAAAATTTTTTTTTAAAAAAAGAGCTTTTTTTTAAAGATAATAACAATGTCCGATAGTGACAATAAAGGTAAAAGTTTAATAGAAATGCCAAAAAAAAAAATATATTTCCACCAACAAAAATAACGGAAATAAAACTTAGCACGTCTGAAATGAGTATATTTGACGGTTAGAGTATTTCTAAAAAAAAATTTATTTCACAAATTAACAGAGTCATTTTCGGAAGGTAACGGTAATTTCCATGCATTATTAACCACATTTAATAATTCATTAATTATACTCACTTTTATTCATATAAACATAGAATCAGCTTCATGTGATGAAGGTAAACATAAATAATTAACCAATACCACGAAAATTGTAACGTTAAACTACGAAATTAAATATAAATACTGCAATTCGTTAATTATATTTTTACTTAATTTAAAATGTGAAATTTAGTTCCGAGTGATGATGAAGGTAAATATAATAATATATGTATTTAACAAATATTATAATTTAATTTAACTATGTTATTCAAAATATTAGAAGGATTGTACGGTAAAGAATAATCTATCTATCGTTAGTCAAAAATAATATTTTAATTTTTAAAATAAAATTTAATTTAATTTTTATTTATATATAGAATGTAAGCCATTTAACTTTTATATATCTTAATACAATTAAATTTTGATTTTAAAATTAAAATACATTTTGTCAAATTTTTTCATTTTTAAAATTAAAAAAAAATTAAAATCAAATACTCTCAAATATTAAAAACACATTTTCTATTTGATTAAACTTTTTAATAAACAATATCTAATGATTAATAATACCATAGGGAGTAAGTTATCTATAATTTTTTATATTGTAATTTAAACATAACTAATTTATTTTAAAAAAATTTTAATGGTATTTTAGTCGGTAAGTTATTTTTATGAAATATATTATAATTATAATATTTATAATAATATTAACTCCAAATTTTTATTTATAGAACGTAAGTTATGTTTATTGATAAAATTAACTATAATTGCTACTACAATATCAATCAAAAATGCTAATATATTATTAATATTATAGAAAGTTAATATTTTAATTAATCAATTATACTTTTTATTTTAATGAAATTTAAATTCAACTAAATTTTATTTAAAAAATAATTAACGATTAATAATATAATAGATCGTAAGCTATTTTTATTGATTATTAGTATTTAATTATACTTTTTACTGTAATTTAAACTCAACTAAATTTTTATCTTACTGTGGACTACATATTGAAATTGCGTAGAACTTTTTCGGATATAACGCGAATATTACAATATTTCACCTATGTCTGAAAACCAGGTTCATGTTTATTTTAATCAAAACGTCTCTAAGTGGAATATTAAAGACTTCTTAGATAACTGTAAACTCGTAGATATAAGTGACAAAATAAGTATTTATCTTAAATCTCTTGAGGCCATCGCCGACACTGAAGAAGGACCAAAGTACAAACGAGCAAAGGAGTTGCTTGCAAGATATAGGGAGGTAAATTTTGTATTTTAGTTAAAAGTATAGAATTTGGTGGCGTGTGCGGAATCTCGAGGGTTTCGTATCTTTCAAGTCTCAAGGGCGAGCTACGAAGTTAGTGCTGGGGCGTGAGCAATCTCGAGGGTTGTGTCATGTTCAAGGCTAAAGGTTGACCTGGCACTAACCCCACCGGGGCGTGAGCAATCTCGAGGGTTGTCTTACGTTCAAGGCTAAAGGTCGACCTGGTGGATAAAAATAAGAGGATATTAGACACTAATCAAGAATATTACTAATTTACCTAATTTTACGCGTTAGGGCTCTCAACCGGATCGGACTATTGCTCGAAA